TATGTTATAGACAAACAGCAAATACTGGCTCTTCACAAAATGTTCAATCTCATTTTCCAGCATCTATTTCTTTTTTTAAGACATTTTAATCATTGAGATTTAGAAATTATAAAGTAAAACATTACACTGAAAAAAGTGAATAGTAAAAACATTACATACTATTTGGTGGATATTTAGTTCTGTGACTGTCAAAAGCAAATTAGAGTTTTCAAAGGAATGTGTTAAGAAACTAGTTAACAATCATAAGAGTATTATTAACAAATAATTTGAAGAATAAGAGAGTTTTCTGGTTTCAGTGTTCGACCACCTAAGAAAAGTTGGAAGAAGATCTTCAACCTTTCTGGAGGAGAAAAAACTCTTAGTTCATTGGCTTTAGTATTTGCTCTTCATCACTACAAACCCACCCCCCTTTACTTCATGGATGAAATTGATGCAGCCCTTGATTTTAAAAATGTGTCTATTGTTGCATTTTATATATATGTAAGTAGCCATTTATGACTTTCATTTTGAAAATTGTATATATTGTTGTTAAGTGCTGTCGAGTCAGTTCTGACCCATAATGATCCTTGCACAGGGTTTCCGAAGCTATAAATCTTATGGGAGCAGAAAGCCTCATCTTTCTCCTGTGGAACAGCTGGTAGTTTCAAACTGCTGACCTTAAGGTTTGCAGCCCGATTCATAACCACTACACTACCATATAGTATCAACTTAATTTATTACTTTTGAGCTTTTCCCATATTCTTGAACTCTGTGTCCTATAGTATGAGACAAATATTTCCATTTTGGAAACAAATAAATTGATGCTGCACCTAGCACCAGAATTAACAATTATGCTGCCTGGAGCTTTTTCCACTAGGAGACTTCTAGGCAAACGCGCCCAAAATTTCCAAGTTACTCTGAAAGTAATACTGTTAGGGGTATTATCTATGCTGTCTTTCCTATTCATTTAAGTTCACCAGTGTAATGTTGATTTATAGCCCAAAAATGATTTTAGCAAAATGAAGCCTTAGGTATTTATTATGTTCTTTACCTGCTATTGCTTAACATTTCTAATTTTTCTTTTCTCTTTAGGAACAAACAAAAAATGCCCAATTCATAATAATTTCACTTCGAAATAATATGTTTGAGATTTCTGATAGACTTATTGGAATTTACAAGACATACAACATAACAAAAAGTGTTGCTGTAAACCCGAAAGAAATTGCATCCAAAGGACTTTGTTAAATTTCCTATCACTGAAGACTCCTTGAATTCATTCTGCATTGTCTCTTACATTTTTTGTAAATGGTTTATTGTATAAAATATTCCTGAACTGAATCACAAAATTTAATTTTGCGCTGTGAAGACATTTTTTAAGTATAATTTTAAAAATCCTTATACCCTTTTTGAAGTTCTAAAAGTCTGACAATTTTTTTACACCTCAGACTTGAAAAAATTAGATACCTGGAGGGTTAGGTAACTTGCCCGTAGTCCCAAGTTACTACCAGGAGAACAAAAAATCTGATGCACATTAAAGCTTTAAGATCAACTGATCAGTGAGCTTAGTATGCCCTCGTGAACCTTCAGTCTACACTGGAAAGTTGCCAACTAACCTTGATCAATTCAGATTTTCTGTTTTACTTAGTCTATAAATTTGATTACCGCTGTATTTGTTAAGAGCCATCAAGGCAGTTCCCACTCATAGCAACCCTGTATAGGATTTCCGAGGAATGGCTGGTAAGCTTGCACCACCAACCTTATAGTTCAGACAGACTTTCAGTCCAGCGCATTAACTCACAGTGCTAAATTGCTAAATTGACAGACAACTTAGTTTTCAGAAGGTATTCTGAAACTGAACCAAGTATTTTCCTTGGGCATTAAATTTTTAGATATGTACCTTGTTGGTGGCTGGTAGTTTTATGCTGTGGACATCCGTTCCAACTCATAGCAACCCTGTATAGGGTTTCTGAGGCTGTAAATCTTTATGGGAACAGAAAGCCTCATCTTCTGCAGTACAGCTGGTAAGTTTCAAACTGCTAATTTTGTGGTTAGTATCCTGACCAGTAACCACTGTGCTACCAGAGCTCCTTGGATACACACCGTGGTGGTGGTAGTGTGCTGTGGAGTTGGTTCCGACTCACAGATACTGTATAGGGTTTCTGAGGCTGTAAATCATTATTGGGAGCAGAAAGCCTCATTTTTTTCTCATGGAACGGCTGGTAGTTTTAAACTGCTGATTTTGAGATTAGCAGCTTGACTTGTAACCACAAGAGTTGATTGCATCACTGATTGGGTATTAGAAATGTAACAATGTATATATATATATATAAATTAATGTATAAGCATTAAAGCAAAATCTGAAACAAGTGTGTTTATATAAGGAGACAGTGTGGAAGGCAATGTAATGGGTAGCCAAGGGAGCTTCAGAAAGTTGGTAGAACAATTCTATTATCTGTTACAAGACCTTTTGTAATTTAGTGGGTTCCAGTTCATAATGACCCTGAATAGTGTTTCTGATGAGCAGCTGGTAGGTTTGAACCACTGACCTTGTAAGCAATCCATCCAGTGCTTATCCTTCCTACAGTACTATATATATATATATATATATATATATATATATACTGTTAGGGGTATTATCTATTTATATATATATATAAAATGATAGGACTTTTTCAGTGGTAAGTTGTTAAGTGCCATGGAGTCAGTTCCGACCCATAGCGACCCTATACAGGGTTTCTGAGGGTGTAAATCTTTACGGGAGTAGAAAGCCTCATCTTTCTCCCGCGGAGTGTCTGGTAGTTTCGAACCACTGACCTTAAGATTCACAGCCCAATTCGTAACCACTACGCTACCAGAGCTGGGATTTAATTTTTTTAGTACATTTTTATAATAAATTCTAATGCTTACGTACCTTATCAAGCCATTTAATGCAATTGAAATGTGGAAGCGTTTATTAAGTATTTTTGTTAAAGTTACACAAGAGAACAGTGTGTTTAAAGAATCTGTACACCATAAAATTCATCAAAAATCTTTTATCTATTAAAAATAAATGTTAAGGCATTCTCTGTACTTTTCTATATTGTTACAAAAAATTAACTCTTAAACAGATCATTAAATAATCTTGACCTTAAATCCTTTAAAGCTGGCATGACAAGGTATATAATCTGAAGATGTCAGGTTTGCATTAATCTATAAAAGTATTGCCCATTTCACTACAGGCACTCAATGGCTGGTGGGGGAGGAGAAATGGTATTTCTCTTCTCTTCTTCCCTTCCTGAACTGTAGAGCCAGGCATGCAATCTTAGTGTCAGTATATTAAGGCTCATTACTTTCTTTGGTTATAAAACATATGTTCTCAAATTTGTGCTATAGGCTCTGCCCATAAATGAAATGATCTACATATTTCTTCTACCCCTTCAATAATTACCCCTCAGCCCTGCTTTAACACTGGGAGGCAGGAAACAGCTGTGTCATTAATGAACGATCTAGCAAATTCAAACCAGTGACCTTCAGATGAAAGACCTATTATTCCATGGATGGTCTCCAGAGCAATTTGGTCCCTTAACACTGGGTTTTGGCTGAAGATTCTAAGACTTGAACTATTAAAAAAAGAAAAAATACACAGTCCTTGACACAATTTGTAATGATTATATTCTATTGTGCCAACAATTCCTTTAAAAAATGCCCATTTCAGAACTGTGAGAGTAAGTGCTTGATGTCTTTAACAGCTAACATTTCAGTGCTTACTCATATACAAGGTAGCTTCAGAAAGTTTGGTAAATGAAATTAAAAGATAATTGAATTTTCCCACAAACTTTTGAAGCCCCCTTATATTCATGAAATACATGGTACTGGTACTTTTGTGGTAAGAACATTTTTTTAAATCTAACAATATGTATTTACATTTGCAAGTAACTGGATACCTCCCTTGCACCTTTCAAGTGCTATATGCCCTTACAGTGCAAGTCATTTTCTGACTTTGGTCACAAACAGTTAATATGGACACTTTAGATTAACTGTCCTTCAAACTTGTTTTCAAAAGATAAGCCTCTAGGTTTAGGTATAAGACATTTTTAGGATCAGAACCAAAGTCTTATTTGAACTAGGGAAGACTTAAAGAGAGATGTGCTCTAAGAGTAAAGTCTATTTAAAAATTGGGGAAATAAACGTTTGTGTTTAGGTTACATGGATCATAAGCATCACAGTTCCCTGTCATTGTTGAGAAAGAAATTAACAAAATCTCTTAAGTATAATGCAAGATAATTACAGAAAAGTATCAGTACTTTGGTATTGTTAAACGCCATCAAGTCAGTTCCAACTGATAGCAACATGACCTGTATAGGGTTTCTGAGGAGCAGCTGGTGAACTTGAACTGCCTACCTTGTGGTTCAGTTTTTACCCAAGAGCTGATTTAACTAGTGGAAAGGTTAAATAAAAATACAATGTAAAATCTTAAATTTCAACAAACAGAATATAACCAGTTATCAGAAAATGTTACTGCTTAAATTATTCAAGGGGAATAGGTTTATTTGGAAGGAATGTTTTTAAACATTTTAGGACTCTTACATAAAATACACTTAGGAAAGTGTGATCAAATGGAAAGATTAATATATTAATGTTTTATAATTAATCACATGAATATAATTCCTTATCACTCACATAGCACTGCGTTTGACTCAAAATCTCACCTACAAGCAATGTCAAGGATTTTACCATCTTTTCATCTAAAAGCTACATATAACAATTGCAAAGTCAAGCACTACTATATACAATTATTGTAGAATACTGGTACAGGAATGTTTAAAGGTCACAGTGCAATAGTGTCAATTTTATCAAGTCAAAATGGGATTATGTACTTTTAATATTCAAATGAATAGTTTTATTTTCTAATTGAATCATGTTTCAGACATTATGTAATTCTAATTTTCACACACGATTTCTAACACAAGTATGAAAAGTATAACATTTCTCTATGTGACAACTTTCAATTTTGGCTATTGACCACGTTCTCCCTACTTCTCCATTTATAGTCTTCATAGACTAAGCCAAGTAAAGCAATTTAGATTTGGATTTTCATAGAGAAACTATTTTCCAAATGAATTCCTTAAGTGAATATAAAGTTTTACATAGTCTATCCTTTAAACCATACAAATTGTTAGAAAATTTTTGATATACAGATAGAGAAGCTTCAGAAAAACATACTGAAGTGATTTCATTTAAAAAGGTGATTATATGTTGGTCAAAAAAAAGTATCAACATTAATATTACTGATATTAATGCAACTATAACAATATTTAAAATTTTAAAAAGTTCAACTTCTTTTTCATCCTTATCATGCAAGGAAGATGACGGTGTCCTTTTTGAAGAAATTTTCATTTCAGGAATGAGGACTGTCTTGATTTGTCCAATTTCTGTTCTACACCATTCTTCTTTCAGTACTTGGCTTACTCGAGGATAAATTTCAACAGGTTGGACTTCAGGAAGTGGTCTTTGTTTCAAGACCTGCACACGCTGACGGACATCATCAACTCTTTCAAGAAATTTCAGTGGAGATTCTTCTTGCAAAGATGCTATCAGTGTCATCAATTCAAGCTGCTGCTCTCTTATTTCTTTCATTCTTTCAATTTGTGGGGTATATTCTTGACTAATCAGATTTCCAACATCAGAGAGAGCAGCTAAGAAAATTTTTTTCTTCTGTTCTACTGTATCACTGAGTTCCTTAAAATACTGGAGAACAACTTCTTTATCACCTTGGACCATTTTCTCAGAATGAGATTTTTGTTGTTCTAGCTTTTCAAGATGATGAATGAGATCTGTCCAGTATGTATCAGTTAACTGTTCAAGCAGTTTTTGAGGCGTGTCCTTTTCTTTTAGATAGGCACTTTGAAGATCATCTATAGGATGTCCATGATGTTGACCTATGGTGAGACAATGGCCACACACTAATTTTTTATCCAGTAGACAGTAAACATTTAATGGCTGTCGGTAATGTTCAGGGCAGGTGACAATATCTGGATGGTCTTCTTGCTGGTATTTTTCAATAATAGCCCTTAATGCAAAATTAACAGGCAAAGACTCAATACCAGTTGGAGCAATTTCAATAATACTCCTGCAATTAGGGCATTTGAGTGGAATTCGTAAAGGTCTCCATATGTAAAAGTTGCCAGATGCCTGAAGAACATTTTCCAAACAATTTCTACAAAATGTATGAGAGCATGGTAGTACACGAGGATCTTCAAAAATACTGTAACAAATTGGACATGTTAATTCGTCCTCAAAATTGTGCATTTCCTGTCAAGAGAAAAAAAAAATTTTTAATTCTACATAACAGACACCTGCACATGTAAAGTAACTGTTAACATACTGTGTTTATCATTTAAAACCACCATTTGTCTCAGTTTACCAAGATATACTAGAAGCTAGTACCAGCAGGATCACCCAAGGTGAAAGGGTTTCAGACTTTCCAGACTATGAAAGACCAGGAAGGCAGGCCTAGCAATATATTGAAAATTAGAAAAACCTCATTAGTCACAACAGAATACAGTTTAACTCTTGTTTGGGACATCTCAGCAGGAGAGATCAACCTTGGGAGGACATGTTTACTGTTTTGGAAGAAGGGCAGCCAGAGTGTTCCTTGAAGGCCCGGATGGCTAAGCTTCGCCTCTCATACTTTGGACATATTGTCAGGAGGGTACAGTCGCTGGAGAAGGATGTCATGCTGGGTAAGGTGGAGGGTCAGAGAAAAAGAGGAAGACTCCCAACGAGATGGATCGGCCAGGTGGCATCAAGTGTGGCGGCAGTAGTGAGGTTGGCCCAGGATCGGACATTGTTTCATTCTGCTGTGCATGGGGTCACTATGAGTCGGTTCCAATTCGATGGCACCTGACAACAACAAGTGAAGTAGAGAGCCAGCAAAGGTAAAGAAGTCCCTTGGTGAGACTGGTATGGTACAACAGCCACAGTGAAGTATTCAAACATACTGGCACATTGTGAGGTAGCAGCACAGAACTGTGCATAAGGTTGACATGAGTCAAGAGTCGACAGCTATTTTATTTATGTCTAGCCACAGAATCAGCATTGAACTGTGAACCATAGTTCAAACCTGCCTTGGAAACCTATACAGGGTTGCTGTGAGCTGAAACTGACTTAACAAGAAGCTTTCATTTGAAAAGAGGATAAAATAAGGTATTTCACTAAGAAAAATGACTTTTCTTAGCAACTCAATTCCTATATATGTTGTTAGCTGCCAGTGAGTGACCCCAACTCATGATGACCCTGTGCACACAATAGGATCCGACTAATACGACTCATAGTTTTTAAACAGTAAAATGCAGGACTTTTCCTTTCTTAGTCTGGAAGCTCTGGTAAAACCTGTTCAGCAAAAGAGCAATTTGAGGTGTACTAGTCAGCAACTAAACACAGGTCTCCCACATGGAAGGCAAGAATTCTACCACCAAACCACCACTGTCCCCCATATATGTTGTCAGAGTCAGCTCTGACACTCGGTGAACCTATGTGCAACAGAACAAAACACTGAGCGGTCCTGTACCATCATCATAATTATGACCCATTGTTGCAGGTCCCAATATATAATACTGAATAATTGACCAAATTGAAGAACTGAATCCTTGAGGGCAAAAATCCTACACAAAACAACTCCAATTAGTTGGTAATAAAATGCTTCAAGTTAAGAGTAGTAAGTTTGTTTCTTCTATGTAATGCAAACTAAATTAAAATTCAGCGTGTTCTGGTGAAGTCTAAAGTTTATTGTTCTAAAATCAAAATGAACCATGCAAATGAAATGGCAAGATGAACTATTTCTATGAAATGATATTAAGAGGTAGGCTTCCAGTTGGAACATAAGAGTAGGCACTGACTCGGTGACAATGAGTTTAGTTTTTTGGTTTTGATTACCCATTACTATAAATTTTTTGATTTCATGAATTGGAATATTAAAGCCCAGGATCAACATGGTGCAATTTTTTAAGGCAATAATTTTAACTTGAAGATTGTTAAGTGCCATAGAGTTGGTTTCAACTCATAGTGACCCTGGTAAAGGGTTTCTGAGGAGTGGCTAGTGGGTTTGAACTGCCAACCTTGTGGTTAGCAGTCAGTGCTTATCCTACCAGGACCATACCAAGACTCCAATTTGAAGAATGGGCTGTGTGCTGTGGAGTCGATTCTAACTCACAGTGAACCTGTATAGGTTTGCCAGGCTGTAAATCTTTAACAGTAAGCCTCATCTTTCTCACATGGAGTGGCTGGTGAACTTGAGCTGCTGACCTTGTGGTCAGCAACCCGGTTCATAATCCACTATGCTACCAGGGCAGGGCTCCTAATTTGAAGGTTGTTGCTATGTACGGTCAAGTAAATTCATTGTGAACTTGGACAGGGTTTCAAATGAGTGGCTGATAAGTTTGAACCACTGACCTCACAGTTCAAATCAACCTTATGGTCCAGTGCCTTATCCTATAGCACTATATCAGGACTACAAATTTGAAGTATTAGAAAGGGGAAAACTCCTTGTAATGAAAATTAATATGACAGATGGAAGTGGTTGATTGTGAGTAGTCAGTCATCTTCCCTTCATGAATATGTCCCTTGATGAGTGTCTGTGAGACACATAAACGTTCAGACACAAGCAACTTGATCTCTTGGCAAGCTATTAGTGACATGGTTTAACAATAGACACTTGATAATTCTGCACCTATCCTCAATGCTAAAAAGTCACAACCCTCAGGACTTACTTCTAGATAGAGAAGAATCAAATTACAAGATAAAACCCCAAATGCCATTCATGTAAAAGACAGCCCTTGTCCTCACTCACTGAACTGGTCAAGGTTCCAAAGACAAGACTAAAATGCAAAAATTACCTAACTTATTTCTGCAGACTCCCTTCAGACACAGCTTCTAAGACACCCAGACACAGATGATAGGAGAGTGTCCTGCAGCCCACCCCTAGGAAGGACAGTGGCTTCCAACTCTCCCAGTCTCCAGTGCTCTTCTGGCTCCCCCTCCACCCTGGAATACCACCCTTTTCTCCTCTATCTTATACCCTTCATGGGTCCCTCTCCTTCCTGGACTCCTTTCCCACAAGGTATGGTTCTTGACCTGCCCAAATTACTTGTAACCTGGGCAGCCAATTTTCTTCTTATACCTCTAGATGCCCCTCCCTCTCAGGTCCTTGGGGCCTTATGGGCAGGGCAGAGACCTTCCTACCAACTCAAGGCTCTCCCAGCCTGGAAGGATCACTCCCAGGACCACCACCTCCTGGCTGAGGTACCCTTTGCTCTCCCAACAGCACCACTCTTCCTGCCCCAAAAAACCTTCAAGGCCTCAAGTGCCGTTCCCAAGCTCAGGCAGCTGCTCCAGCTGCTCCAGTAGCCTGCATGGGCTCTCCTCCCTGCCCTGGCATCCCAGTGTGGACCTCCCGGGATCCACTGCACTAAAGGGCTGCTTCCCCATTTCTGGTGATGCTTGCAGGCCAGGCCTATACCTTCTTCCTCAAACATACACTAACCTGTGCAGCCCTCCAGTCTGCTCCGTCAAGCGGACCTATACCACCACCAGGGTAGGCTCCTGGTTATGGCCATGATACTTCTGCACTGGAGTTACGGTGGGCCACTGCTAAGCACACATACCCACTGTTACACCTGCGCACCTCACCAGGCCCTGAGCCTGCCACATCGCACTCTTTGACCCCTGAGGTTGTGGGTACCCCTCCAGATAAACTTCTGGCACCACCACCCACCCCCCTTACTCCCTACCAGGTTCCCCAGGGGAGGGAGCCTGGACTCCCTTAGGTGCTACAACCCACTGTCATCCCCAGGCTTTGACAAGGCCTGCTGGATTGTCCATCAGTGAGGAGTAAGGAGTCCTGGTGTGGCACTGTGAGTTAACACGCTAGACTACAAAGTTGGTTTGAACCTCAAGGCCAGCAATTCAAGCTCACCAGCTGCTCCTTGGAAACCCTATACAGGGTCGCTATGGGTCAGAACCAACTCGAGGGTACTTTATAACAAAATAAGTGAGGCATAGGCGTACAAACATTACCAAATCATCCTCACTGTGTCCTGGTATGGCGCTGTGGGTTAATGCGCCAGACTTCTAAGCCATTTGAACTATAATATAAGGCCGGTGGTTCAAGCTCACCAGCTGCTCCTTGGAAACCTTATACAGGTTTCTTGGCCTTGCTATGGGTCAGAACTGACTGGATGGCACATAACAACAACAAATTATGAAAGTTTGAGAAAACAGCATCTCAAAATAACAATATATTTTAAATAGACAAAACACCTCTTTTGACTTTTTCATTCTTGGCTCCCTTCACCATCTTCCAAAACAAACCCTTCCTCACCCTACAAGTCTCACAGTGAGTCATGTCCCAGACCAGGTCCCTCTTACTGTCATGAAATACTACACTTTTCCTTCACAGTACTTCCACTTAAAATCGTTTTTAAAAATAGCTTTGTCATACTTTAAACAGTTACATAGCATTTTTGTTGACATTAGGATGTAAACCTCCAAATAAGTTCAAGAATCGTGTCTACACTATAGTTGTGTCACTGTCATCTAACAGACTGGACACACACAGTAGCCATTCACTTACTACTGAGTGAATGAGCAAATGTCTCATAAATGAATTTAACAAAATGTCAGATCTTAGTGTTTTTCTTTATTTAAAAAAAGGCAAAATTTTTACTTGGTGTGGGAATAATGTTAACAGGAGCGTCCACTACAAAGTACTCCTCTCAGACTGACATTATTTAGAACCCTAATGAGCCAAGTTGTGCCACTTGAGGTAACTCATGTTGTGAAGCATTCCAGGAAACTAAGGTAATTGGGCAGCAACACAGAAGATGACATTCACTGCAAATTAATTCAAGTGAATGCATGCTGGGAAGACTTTGCCCTATACTTACATGGAATTCTGAAGTCACACACAAACCACGCAAGAAACAGAATGTTTCTCAGGTATTTTAATATCAGAATTCACAATAAAGGGATAAACAGAATAACATTTTGTAAGGAATAAAATGTGAGACGCATTCAAAATTGACATACATGCAATCTAGATTTAACATTAGTATTAAAGCTATTTAATCATTAGTAGCTAAATTAACACTAAAACAGAAGCCTTTTTCTCCAAAATTCTATTTATATTTTGTCAAAAAGCTAGGTAACAAGTGTTTCCTGAGAATCAAAAAGAAGAATTTTCTTTAGAAAGAGGATATCCACAATATTATAAAGAAAATGTCATCTCCTAAGCATACAAAATGGAAGCAAAAACA